CTCAGCATTTCTGTGTATCACTACCTAGAAATCGACTTGTTGTAAAGTCCATTCAAAGTGTGCTGCAGCTGGGGTGATGTCACATTGGAGCAGTTACAGGGGAATGAGTCTCCGTTCTCCCTGTCTGATTTTTCAGGTCTGGAGGCTGTCAGCAGCAAAGCTGAGCCCTGGAGGGGACAGCAATAGAGAGGGGAGAATCCGGTGGTGACGGAGAGAAGAGCGATCTCCTGTTCTGAAGGGTATAATCCCTGAAATCCGACATGCAAGAGACCAGATGTCATGGCTTGGTCATGGTCTGGTCTGGAGATGTGACAGCCTGATTAATGGTGAAGGGAGTAAAAAGTGAGAAGCAGCAGAAGTATCGGTGGACAGTGTTAAAAAATTTGAAACTGAGACACTTCTCCAAGTTGGTGGAATTTTCCAAAGAGGGAACAAATGGCGCCTGAGTGGTGAGGAGCAGAGCAGAAAGGTTAAGAAGACGAATTACAGAATCTGTAGAGAGTGAAAGTGATTGTGGTTGCTGAGTGGAGAATTTCTACTGATTTCTGAGATTGGATCTATGGGGATATAAATTGAGAGTTTTGTGTGGGTGGTGAACTGATTGAGAAAGAAGGAAAGAACAGATTCCTTTCACAATAGAAGAGACAAAGGCGGAAGAAAAGGAAGAGAAAGGACAGTGACTGTGCAATTTGAGGACAACAGTCATTTTGAAGCACAGAGAACAGAGAAGTTGAAAGTGAGTAGAGAAATCGAGGAATAAGAACTGTGGTATTCCCCAACATAGGACTTTGGACTAGACTCATTTATAACCAGCTTTGTACACTTCAGATATCTTTACATTATTTATGGTATTTAAATATTGTTATATTTACCACGGTGATCTTTAAATCAAAGAATTTAATATTTTATAAGCTATACATTTTATATATCTTATATATCTATGCTCCACATATATTTAAATATAGATTCAAGCATATTTAATACAGGGTAGAATTTATAGCCACTTCCTTTATTACTGCATATTAGAAAATTTATCTAGCTTTAAAACACCTTTGGGTGAACCTCCTCCTCCTTCCCCTCCTCCTCTTGCGACCCCCTGTCCTGCTGTGGTGGGGCCAGGAGGGTGCACACAAGCGGGGACACCCTCATCAAGTGAGTGCCCACCCACTCTGTGTGCATCTTTTCTGCGCTTTGGCCAAGCCCAGCCACTCACTTGAGGAGGGTCTCCCCGCTCGTATGCACCCTCCCAGCCTCTCCACAGCCAGCAAGGGGGTTGTGAGAGAAGAAGGGGGAGGAGGAGAGTCGCCGGAGCCTTAGTGCAGGAGCGAAGTGGCCCTGTACTTGCCTTCATGTCACATTTGTGCTAAAGGCAGCCCTCGCTTCACACCACTTCGGGCTCAGAGCTGTAAGCCGCGTTCTGTTGCTAGGGTGAGTGGGGCAGGGTCACATTGTGGCTCCAAATTGTAATGGGCTACAGAAGGAGGAGGAGGGGACCCCATCTTCCCCATTGTGAAGCACGCTAAAGTTCACTGTGCTGAGAGAGACAGAGAGATAGACATAGAGAGGGGGGAGAGACATAGCTTGAATGTGGGACAAACTATATAAAATATATACACCATCATCATTCTGATACTGCTATTCTCTATAACCTTAACACAGATAATAAGATTTGTACTGTCCATGGTATGAGTCAAATATACAGAAACCTAAGCAAGGGCATCTGGGCGCCAGGCACTAAATTATGTACAGCCCCCTCCCCCACTTGTAAAGTAAGACAGTCCCTAAAATAAGACTTCACATCATTTTTTATATTTAAAATGATTATTAGTGCAGAGAACCAGTTGTTAAATTATTTGAATCCCACCACTGATTCCAAGGTCCCTTCCAACTCTGTTATTCTGTTAAAGAGTGTATAATTTTAGAAATATTATCTGAAAACAAAATATACACAGGAAGAAATGAAATAGTTGTAGTAAACATCTGTAAAATGATTGATTGCCTGTGTAACAATATGCAGAGAAGAAGCAGAAAAAGAAATGTCTTAAAGCTACCAGCTTTAGTCATCAATAGCTGGAAGTTACTATGAATTGAACAATTCAAGCAAATTAAAGTAGTCTTTCTTAGCCTTTTGGCCCTTCATATAAATTGAAAATAATAGTACAATTAATCTTATTTTGAGATAAAATAAAAATAGTAATCTGAAGAATATATGATATAAAATGGAAACAGGCAAACAAGTCAGAATAATTTGAAAAAAATGTAAAAAATTGGTTTCATTGTTTCACATTTGTTTAAAATACAACAAAATTTGTGAAATAAAAAGATTTTTTTTTTTACTCTGTAGTTTGGTGATAACCTAAATCTATGTTCAGTTACTCAGCCCAACTTTTTGGATAGCAGCTGATGTTTCACAGTATTTTCATAAAGCATCAAGACATTTAATGGAAAAAAAGTAAAGTTCAATTATATACCAATGCAGTTCCATGCTAAAACATATAACTCTGAAGTAGATTTACAGTTTTAGATTATTGAAAAATGAGTTGAATCTAAATTATGACTTAATCAAGCCATATTTACAAATAATATTAAGCCAAAAACAAATCAGATTATTGGCAAATTATATGTTAACCACATTTTTTTCTTCTTTGCATTTTTTGGGGGAGAATCAACCAAGTGTTTATGTAGTGGTTGGGTCAGGTATTGACTGACTGGCTTGTTCCCCACACCTGACATCATGGGCTATGAGAGAGTGACTGGCCCAAATCACCCAGCTGGCTTTCAGGCCTAAGGCACGACTAGAATCCACAGCCTCCTGGTTTCTGACTTGGTGCCTTATCCAGCAGACTAAATTGACTCTTACTTATGTATTAAGGATAGGTTTTTTATATAAGATCCATTGATTTCCCTATGAATTATAGTACAATTGGTGTGGTATGGTGTGGTATAGTGTGGTGTGGTGTGGTATGATATAATTCATTCTTGATGCCATCCATTTAGCCATGGAAATTTTAAATAGTCTTTCCAATATCTGTTTATTTCAAAAACATTATTATACATAATCTTATATCACTGACTGAACTTTATAAATTCTTAGAAGCTGGGGGTGGGGGTGGGGGATGAGTCCTTTTGCAAAAAGAACCAAACAGATCATGAAACTTTGTTAATTACTTGCTTTTCTGTAAAACTAAGACAGTAAAGGTACAATGAGGTGCCACCTGAATACTTTAAGCAGCATATTTTCTCAAGATAATCACAATAGTAGTGACAATATTTTTTTGTACAAATGCATGATAATAAAAATAATTTCCAAATAGAATCAATAGCAATACAATAAGATTCCATGCCTAGAGAGACAATGCCTCTATGACTCTGGACACATAGAAGCAATAAAGCATGTGTATCTTTAATGCCTGTATTCACTGCAGAGATATTTGTACTCATCTCACCATTACTAGATAAATACTCAGGGCACAGTTCTACACCTCTTGATTGCTTTCAGATACCAACCATGCTGCAATATACAAGGTTGCTAGGAACTGTGCTACAAAGTAGACTTAATGATAGATTTATGAAATACTGAAATGCTCCGTTATTGGATACAGTCTTCCATATACTAACTTTTATGTTCCCTTACACCCATCTAATGTTTTATCTCTTTTATATTCTTTTTTTAATATATACTTTGTTTTAATGTATTTTTATATCTTCTAGTTTTTCATTATTATTAGATTCTGATGTATTTTTGTGCTTTTTAATTGACAGGACCCCATCCTCCTTATGCTCGTTTATGACCACAATAAGGATTTAATTTAATTTTTAATTTGTAACTGGAGCCAAAGCTATGTTTGAAAATCTGCTCATGTCTTAGCCTGACATAGACCTTAATAATAATGTAAAGATAAAAATAAGTAAAGGTTTCCCTGTTCAATGGGTCTAACTTTAGGGCACATTGCTCATCTCCTTCTCTTGGCCAAGAGAGCCAGCATTGTCCGAAGACATTTTCTGTGGTCATGTGGACAGCATGGACAGCCAAAGGCACACATAATGTTGCTACTTTCTCATTGAAGTGGTACCTATTAATCTGTATTTACATTTGCATGCTTTCAAACTGCTAGAGGGGCATGAGCTGGGGCAAAGAACAGGAGCTCATCCTGTAGTGCCATTCTTGGATCTCTAATCCGGGCTTGTCAGCTTTCTAGACTAGATTAGACTAGAATATAGAATAGAATAGACTAGAATAGAACAGAATAGAATAGAATAACAGAATTGGAAGGGACCTTGGAGGTCTTCTAGTCCAACCCCCTGCTTAGGCAGGAAATTGAAGTAGTGTACACTTCAGACAAATGATTATCCAATCTCTTCTTAAAAACTTCCAGTGTTGGAGCCTTTACAACTTCTGGAGACAAAACGCTCCACTGATTAATTGTTCTGTCAGGAAATTTGAGGGACTCCTACAAAAATGAGTGGGTCAATCTAATTTCCAAAGTGCCAAACGGCACAACAAGAAACAATGGATAGAAACTAACCAAAGAGAGAAGTAACCTAGGACTAAGAAGAAATTTTCTAAGAGTGAGACCAATCAATGGAACCAATGGAATAGCTTGCCTTCAGAAGTTGTGGGTGCTCCATTACTCACAAGCAACACAGTTACAAGATAACTTGAAATCTTTACAGTCTAATACTGTAAGCTAACTCTTAAATGCTGAAAATGCAGGATCAAAATACATAATCATAGAAACAGCATTGTAACCCTATTCAAAATTAATAAAATCAATTCTGCTAATTAGAATGTGTATTTAAAAGACATAAGAACTCTTGACAAGAAACTCCTGCTCTGTAGTAACATTTAAATAAATCCTTCCCTGGCCTAATCCTGTCAAGAACAAGGAGAGATTCAACCTAGAAATAAGGAGGGAATTTTCTGACAGTGAGAACAATCAACCAATGGAACAGCTTGCCTTCAGAAGTTGTGGATGCTTCATCACTGGAGGCTTTCACGAAGAGATTGGACTGCCATTTGTCACAAATGGTGTAGGGTCGCTTGGGCGGGGATTGGACTAGACCTACAAGGTCTCTTCCAACTCTGTTAATCAGCATGATCTGTAAATTTCTATTGTTTCTGTTCTGACTGCATTCCTGCGATTTTGTTATTGCAACTAAGTATTCACCTTTCAAATGGTTTTTGGCTGTCTATTAACTGAAGGGAGAGAGAAGTAGAAGAAAACCTCTTTCACTTTATTACCCCCCATGAGTTTTAAAGGGCTAGAATTTTTCTGTTGAAGAAATGGCTATGTGGTTATTCCTTCTTTTTCTTTTCTTTTCCTTTGGTTAATTACAAATGAGTAGGAATGTCTGAGGTGTGTGTGAATTACTGGAATTGTTAGGCCAGCAGGCAGGCAGCCTTGACTATTTGGCTGGTTTGCAGAACTCCACAAAGAGTTAACAAATGGTTCTCTTGAACTGGTACAACTGGCTCTAACCCATGCCCTTTTGTTTATGAGCAGGTAAGTTGAGACTCTCTAATTCTTTATTGTAAAACTTATTAGGAACCATTTATGGATATCAGCCTGAAAAAATTAGGGACATAATTACTCCTTAGAGCATGCCTCCAATCCTGGCACTCACTTCCCAAGCTCATTAGACATATTTGAAATGGGATATAATGAACTAGCTTCAATGACTTTTCATTCATTCTGATAATTTTTTTTGAAATAATAAAGAAAAATCTTTGACCAATATTCTGTAGAGAGGATTAAATGGCTTCATTCTAACAACTCAGCAAATCTTGTTTGGGAAATGACTTTACTGATTTAGCCTGGGTAAATTAATACAAGAGCTATAGCATGGATTTAGGAAAGTGCTGAATGCATTCATTATCCATTTCAGAAAATTTAAATTCAGAGTAAAAATGAACTTCATTATGTTTAGATGTGCAAATCATCACAGGAGACCATTCTCCATTACATCTTATTACAATTTAAAATTACACTCTTGTAGTGTCAGTTTTATGCAAACCATACTCCTCAGATACTGTGTTTCCCCATGCTGGATCTCAGCATTAATACACCTTCTACAGAATCCCCAGGACAATCAATCATTTTTTGCCAAAGAAGTTGCTCTTCTCCTTGAGAATCCATCCAATCAACTTCTTTGCCATTGCTTATACCTGGAAAATTGCAAAGCATGGTGGTCAGCTGGTCTTTTTTTCTTTTACATCAGAGGTTCATAACACATGATACTCCAGATTCACAAGAACTACAGCAACTTTTATCAAACTGTCATCTGTAGCTCTGGTTTCTACCATTAGTACAGTGTAAAATTTACAATTTCATTAAAAATGAGCAATGAGCAATTTAGACTGGAAAAAAAGCAACAAAATATGAAAGACTTAATAATTTAATGATATCTACATTACAAACTGGAAGCTGTTGCCCTTAAAAAAATAATCCCTAGACAATTCTTACAAGAATAGTGGGATGGAGAAAAATAAATCTAAAAACCATTTAACTCTGGCCATCTTTTTTTGTATTAATTATAGGACAAGAACTTAGCAGTCCTTTTTATTAGGAATTCTAATCAGATTGATTTGCTTCTTTTATTATTATTTTACTATTTATTTATTCTTTTTAGCTTTGCTTTTAAACCAACATCAGAATGTGTTATCATAAATATTTGTAATTCATACACAGAAAACATTTTCTGGCAATCAGCAATCCAAAACTTTGCAAAAGGCCTAATTTTTCCTATCTGTTTTTTCCTATCATTTTAAAAAATGATAAGAGTGGGGATTTATTGATATATTTATCATTAGATTTCTATGCTGTCTTTCATTCAGAAGCTCAAGGCAACATATATACTAAGTTTTCACTTATTTTCCTTCATAGCAGAGTTGGATTGAGAATAAGTGAGTGGTCGAAAGACCAAGCAGGTTCTAAAACCCGAGTCTTCTCCCTCCCAATCCAGCACCTTATGCATTTAAATTCCGAAAAGCCTTCCATTTCCATTTCCCACATTTTTAACAATATCTTTTTTGGAAGCTTTGGAAAGTTTTCACTATGAGCCAAAGGCTGCAAGATAAAGAGCTAAACAGGCCTTTCAAGTACTGATATCCATTTCTAAATATAAGGTGTATTCTAAATATTTAATCTGTTACTCCATTTCAATTCCATTCTATCAAAGGGTAGGTCTATCCACACCTACCACTTCCAATACTCAAGCGAACACCACCCAGGAAAATGTTGCTGGCGAGAGATTCGTTGTCCCAAACAGTGAGTTCTACACAGACATTGTGTATATCTCTAGGGTTCAAGCCACTAAAACTGAACATATGATTCCAGTGGGGATTAACACTCTTTTTAATTACATGGGTTTTATACTTTGAAGATTTGTTGTCAGGAAGCAAGTGTCTAAGAGAGAAAAATAAGGAGAAAAAAAATAAGTATATAGATGTTTGTTATGAATGTCATAATAATTATAATTGAGAAGATACTGATGCATCACTCAACAGCTATGTGTAATCTATAGTCCTTCCCTCAAAGTAATAAACTATAAAAAGATTTATCATAAGAGTTGGCCACTGCAAGATTCATTGAGCCCTTTTTATTTGGAAATTTTTTACTTTCTTAAAACAAAACTGACATGGAGCAATATTATGATTTATAAATAATACATAGTCATGGAAACTTATTTTTAGATTATGATATTAGCATGTAGTAGGAGGTGAATTATGAATTTGGACCAGGAAAGCAAACACAAAATGGTGTTAGCTGAGATTAAGAAATACAATACTATATCCTGATATATGAACTATTATTTTTCCATCCAAAATAAGGTAGAAGGAAGTAAAGGTGCAAAAGTTCTAAATCTTGCCATGTGATGTCCACGGGAGATTTTTGAGAAATAAATAGAAGATAATATAAGTGACTAGCTGAATACCCGTGCACCGTGTGAAAATATTTGATCAGACTTGATAAATCAACACTTACAGCTTGAAAATTAATTATTATTTATAATCCCTTCCTCAGGATTTCCCCACAGAATCCTCCCTCAGGCTTGTATGAAGTTTCCAAAGGATGACCTAATTAATTTATGAGCCTCAAGACAAAGTTCAAAAGAAATCCATTCATTTATTAGGATCAACATTTTGGCATGCTCTTCTGTGGAGCCAAAATTGATTTTCACTTAATTGTGTTTGAACTTTACCCCCTGTATCTCCTCCCTTCTGTCTGTGTCATAAATCACATCCACCAACAAGGTGCTAGGCAGGCTATGAACATGCACATTTCACACACCAGCTGTAGGAATATGAGACCTGACTCTGCATAGAATTCTACTCCCTTTCCTCCCCCCTTTTCCTATGCCGACTTGATAGTAGTCATGGAAATGCTTTATAAGTTGACATACAGCTCCCCTCACTTCCCGAAAGCGACCTGTGTGAAACAAAACAATTTGAGTACAGGTGTACAGTGTAATTTAGGGAAGTGTCCCTACCCCAGGCTTGCTTGGATTTTTTGCATGGAATTTTGCTATAAGGCAATCAGCCTGGATATTTCTACTTTTTACCCAAGATGCCTCTGATTAGGGGTAGCCCTTCCACTTGATTATGTATTGGAGTTGTCTGCTGTGCCACCTCAAATCAAGGACTTGTTGAACTTAATAATGGGTTTGGCCCTCTATGACCACAGGGCCCGTGGGCTCCCAGGGTAGTAGTCTCAGAGTGAATCTGATCATGGATTTTAAGAGGCTACTATGAAACACTGGGTGTATCTTCCTCAACGATTGAGGCAGTTTCAATTCCACTGTGACTGGGTTGATGGTCTTTACTATGGGGAATGGTCCCATAAATTTTGGCCCCAGTTTCTTGCTAGGCAGTTTTAATCTCAGATATTTTGTGGAGAGGTAAACCTTCTCTCCCACCCAGAATGACCGTTGCGGAGCCCAGTGTTTATCTGCCTGTTTCTTATAGGTTTGTGCCACTTTAGCCAGTGCTTTCTTGACATTTTCCCAGGTTGCTTTCAGCATCAACATCTAATTAGTCAAGCTGACTGAGGAGGGAGGATCCGTTGGATACTCAGGCATTGGGACAAAGTCTATGCCACTCACTACTTTGAATGGCATGAGCCCTGTGCTACTGTGAACAGCATTATTGTATGCTACTTCAGCAAAAGATTAAAGGTCTGCGCAATTGGACTGCTGATAGTTCACATAGCACCTCAGGTACTGCTCTACCATGGCGTTCAGTCTCTCTGCTGCCCCATTGGTGCTTAAGACCCTGAGATGACCCAATGGACTGCAGGAACTTAGCCATGAATTGGACCCCTCTGTCTGAAATAATTCTTCGAGGTACTCCATGCAATTGGTAGATATGCTTAACAAACAGTTTAGCCAGCTTGTGAGCCGAGGGTAGTCCGCTGCAGGGTATGAAGTGTGCCTGTTTGGAGAACAGGTCTATTACAATCCAAATCATGGTTTTCCCCCCACTTTTCGGCAACTCTACTATAAAGACCATTGCGATCTCCTCCTACAGCCTCGTTGGCCTCCTGGCTAAGTGTAAAGTCTCTAGGAACCCAAAGTGGACTGCTGGTTTGGCGTTGTGGCTCCTTTGGAAAATTAGGGCACGTAGGGATTCTGTAGAGTTTCATCCCAAGGTGGCGCAGTGGTTAAATGCAGCACTGCAGGCTACTGCTAGATCAGCAGGTCAGCGGTTCAAATCTCACCGGCTCAGGGTTGACTCAGACTTCAATCCTTCCGAGGTGGGTAAAATGAGGCCCCAGATTGTTGGGGGCAATATGCTGACT